TTTCCTGGCTGTCTCTATTAAAAGCACATCCCCTCCGGCCAAAAAAAAAAAAAAAAAAGGAAGGCCTATCACTGGCCTGTGGGCTGGGGCCTGTTGACAAGGCCCCACCTCCATACCTCATCATTGGTGTGCTGCCCAGCAGTCAGCTTGAGCACGGCTCTGCACTGATCCACAAAGGTGCTGGCAACCAGCTCGGCGTGGCGCAAGAACACGGTGACTTCGTCCTTGGTCAGGGGCTCCTCGCCCACTATCTTGGCTATTACAAGGTCCAACAATGTAACCCTGTAAGACATAAAGAGTTCGACATCACTACGCGATACTTACACTGTACAATGCTAGAAATATGAAGATAATCTTAAGGGTACATCTTTATTTTAAATTCTTTATCTTGTTTATAATGTCTAGCTAGGAAAAACATTTTATGAATAAAGTTCTTTATGGGTTACCTACATTTTTAAATCTTGATTTTTTTTTTAATTGTGACTTGACTAGGGACACGAGATTGTCTAAGGCATCTGCTGTATGTTACCTTCAGCACTGAAATAAGTCAGCATTTCAGAAATAAGATAATAACAACAGCAAAGTGAAGTGTGCTAACATTTATTCACTACTTACTACTGAGCTAATTATGCATTCTCTACACATTATCTCATTTCATCCTTACAAACACTCCGTGAGGCAGGTGCTTTCATTAGCCTCGCATTAAAGCCAGTAAATAAGACAGAGACAGAAAATAAGGCTTAGTGAGATGGATGAGCTTGCCCAATGCCACATAACCACTGAAAGAGCAAGCCAGGACTCAAGCTCTGCCCTTGGGTCAGGTGCTCTAAACACTCATTTGATTGTCTCGGCTTGGCTTTCTTCTTTGTTTAATTATTGTAGTTTATAAAAACATAAACCTATGCCAGTTTTTACATCAATATTTAAATTATCAAATAGGTATTTCTATTCAACGCTCTCCTTCCTTCCCCAAGGAGAAATACATCACACATAATACAATATATTTCAAGCATAAATCAAGTAGTACATTTGCTCGAAATCACAACTTGATTTGAGATCATATGTATAATTCTCATTAATTACCAGAAAGGGTATAAATATCTATGCTCACCAAAAATAGGACTAGAGACTTAAATTAGACAGAGAATTTTTTTTTGGAAATTTTTTGCTATGGGGTGCATGTGTTCACAGAGAGATGGAGAAACAGAGAGATAAAGAGACAGGAAGTGAGAAATCAACCCCCCCTGGAGGGGAGTGGCCACGCCGCAATCCCTTCTCATCCATTCTCCTCTTGGGATTTTGGGCATGCACGTACCTACTCCTGGCATGAGTTTCAAGCCTCCAGGGCCAGGACTCAAACCACAGTTGGCCATGTGGGAGTCCAGTGACATAACTATTACACTATCTGCTGGTCCCCAGAGGATTTCTTACCAAAAGAAAAATACAAATAGTGCCTTGTTTTATGTAAGAAACAGAGCTATACGAGATGCTTCCTGTATTATGGCCACATGATAGAAAAGATTATTGGTCTGAAAAAAAAAAAAAAACCAATCTGTATGTCTTAGTGATTTTCCAAACTCCTAAAAGTTTAGATTTATTATAGCAATTATTAATCTGAAGTAAAACAAATAATCACCTCATTTGAGCATAGTATTAGGCCATTCTTTGCTTTCTTTATTCATACATAATGGGTAAAAACGAGTGGGAACTGGCCTTCTAGCTAGCCTAGTGGTCAAGGGAACTAGATCCCATACCCCACTGCGGTTTGAATTCCAGCCCAGATGGCTTGCAAAACTTCCAGGCATGCGTGTTTATGTGCTAAAGTCCTGGCAGGGTGGACAGACAGAGGAAAGGGGTTAGAATGTGACTACGGCCCACTGAGGAGCACTTTCTCTCTCTATCCCTGGCTCTCCGGAGGATACATGTGCCCTCTGGCAGTTAAATGAAAGAGTGGGTACTTATAGGCCAATAAGTCAGGCTTCTCACTCCCTTGAGCAAGATGACTTTCTAGATCTGCTGGGGGAGGCCGTTATTCACACAGTCCAAATGTCAGTTCTAAAGACAGGACTTTTAGGTTGGATTAGATGAAGTGCCAGTTCCTGTGAAGCACAAATTACGCGCTAGCTAAGAAACTCAGGACTCCACCCTGGCTGCCCTCCCAGGCATCACAGATCAGCACAGACATCGTCAGCCCTAAATTCGCCAGGCCTTTATCCGACAGTTGGGCTCAGGGACCACAAAAATCTTGGCACGCCCAAGTTATCCTGAACCTCAGGACTCTACTTCCCCCATGGTTCTTGAGCACTGAGGGTCCCCACCCAATGACCCCCCCCCCATTCCAGCTTAACAGACATCCCAGCTGACACAGTTCACACGTTTAATGTCGCTCTGACCACCAGAAGGTGAACTCCAGGAGAACAGAGAATCCTGTCTGATGTACCAAGCAGAAACAAGATTAACTGTAGAATGAACTAGAAGACTTTTGTTACCGAAGCAAAGCTCAACCATGACCCTTTGGCTCATCCCCACCCCCCACCCCCACTCTTCTATAAGTGTATTTTATTCCAACCAAACTGGAATTTTTGGAACACCTGAAGCCAAACTGGAATTTTTAGAAGAACCAAAGCTTGTTTGTGTTGTTCCTTCAGGTAGGATAGGCCCACACTCTTCTCACACCTGCCTTACAGAATCCTGCGGCCCTAGGGCCCTCAGACACAACTGCTCACTTACTACAGACTGCACCTGCTGTTTCCCTCCTCCCTCCCGTCCCGAGTTCCTGAGGCAGTGTGTGTTCCTCTCCTGTGATGGCAACTACACATGTCTTTTATTACGTATGAGCAGGCTTCTCTTCCTTCTACCAGAATTCTCTAGCACAGCTCACGGAAAGGCTGTGAGACCCTTGAGGGTAGAATTGTGTACACTGACCATGCATCCCCAGTAGAGCACAGAGTGTCTTAGTCATAGCAGGCAGCCTGGCAGCCTGAACTTACTTAATCGAATAAAATGTGGCTGTAAGTAAAAAAATGAAAGAGGATGGTAAAAGGTGTTTGTAGTCATTTCTTTTCCCCTTTGTAAGTTATCATGTCTTTCTGCTTTCAGGCCCCAGTATTTTTAACCCTAAATGATTAAGTACATATCTTAAAATGTACTAGTATAGGTAAATTATTTCTGTGTGAATATCTACAGTTTAGAGCACAGAAGAAAGTACAAATCTTGGGGTCAGTGGGTGGCATGGTGGTTGAGGTGCTGGACTCCCACATGGCTGATCACGGTTAAGGTCCTAGACCTAGTGGCCTGAAAATCATACAAGGCACATGTACTTGTATGTCCAAAGTCCCGAGAGGAAAATGGATAAGCAACTATAGCATGGCCATCCCTCTTCAGGGTGATTTCTAGCTTTCCCTCTTGTCTCTCTTCAGTGAGCACACATGTCCTATGGCAAAAACCTCTACGAAAAAGAAAAAGGATTATTCTATTTAACTTTATTATATTATTATTTTCCAATTTGCTCAGAGAGAGAGGGAAGGTGAAAAACCAAGCTTCTGGGTCCAGAACTTCAATCACAGTTGGCCATAAGGGAGTCCCAACACCTTAACCACTATGCCACCTGCCAGCCCCATACCTATAGGTTTAAAAAAGTCGAATCAGATGTCAGCAGGTGGTATGGTGGCTAAAGTGCTACACTCCCACATGGTTGACTGCAATCTGAGTCCCAGAACCAGTGAAAAAAAAAAGAGAGAGAGCCAGAATATTGCTGCATGTCATTTTTTGAAAATGTTTACTGTACTTGAAATCTAATTGAGGCCATATTACCACATGAAACCTGAACTACAAAAACCCACTTCCATTCACATCCATCTCTCAGTGAAACTGAGGGCTTAGTTTGTCATTCATGTCTTCATTTATCCACCAAACTAACACTGGCTGACAGAGTAGGACACCCAAAGCAACATGCTCAACATGACATTGATGTTGAGAGACACACTGATCAATAGACATTTGCAAAACAGTCACATGGAAGAAAATGATCATCTCTCTTCTTGCAGGTATTCGACCTGTATGCCTTAATACTCTGTATTCTGGGGCGCTATACATTTCTTACATGTAACACACATTTTATTCTGCCATAACAGACACCGTTTGTAGGTAGTACACTGCTGTGGTTATTAGTAGATCAAATCCCGGTTCTGCCACCAACTAGCTGTGCGAGCGTGGGCAGGTTATGGCAGTAGAGATTGGGGCTGGGCACATGTGCATGTATGCCCAAAATCCAGGACGAGAATGGAAGAGAAGGGATTGCAGCCTGGACACTTCCCACCCCTCCCCCGGGGTGGT